CATATCATTAACATATGTAACAATCAATAACACACACATAACATATCAAACATATGCTCATATTAATGAATTCATGCATTCTACTATAGGAAATAGACTTGTCACAAGTCTTATTTCCATTAAACATAATACACTATCTAATGTGCACTCACCTTGGCCTCTCTACGTTCCAATACACATTATGATTTTCCTCTATTTCGATCGAATCTTAACTTGCCAATCGACCCAGACTTGTTCGTGCTCGATATTTATATAAAATTACATTGATACATATCAGTATCCAATTGATATACACTAATCTATCATTTTTTAGACCAAAAGAAATGTCTATTTCAATTTCCCATTAAAGTGCATCGATACATTCTACAGTGCATCGATGCATTCTTTAATATGTGCATCGATGCACTCTTTAACATGTGCATCGATGCACTACCCATGCATCGATACACAAATTACCTTCGATGTTTTCATTTTTTAAAGGGATGCATCGATGCACTAATTGCATTCGATGTTTCTTCTTTAAAGAGTGCATCGATACACCTTGCCCATAATTTGCATTTTAAGCCCAAAAATCCATTTAATTCAACTCAAATGCTTCATATTTCATCCCCTTTCATATTCCTAACTTACATATACATATTTGCACTCATTTCTACTCAATAATCACTTCTTTAACCTCCATATCCTATTCTCCTTAAGAAATTCAAGAATCATACCCAAATTTTAACATGTTACAAATCCAATTCTAACACTTCATACATGTTAATTAGATTGGTGACAAGTCAAATTCACTCTAAAACCTCATTAAAGAACCCTCTTTCAAGATTTCACTTATTCCTCTATTTTCTTTAATTCCCTCTATTCTCTTCATCTTATTGTTTCAAGATAATTTAAGCTCTTCTTATGCTTAATTATCACCTAATAATCAAAACTCGTCCTTAAATTTCAGCTAATAATCAACAACAAGAAATCTTACCTTTGCTTGAGCTCTCACGTGGAGGAGGAAGATGAAGGGAGAAGAGTTTTCCAAATAACTCTCCCCACAAGCTTATCTCTTAATAAAGAGATAAGATAATTATCTTTAGATAACAAAGACCATTTTGCCCTTAATCTCCTTTAATAATTACTAATAACTTTCAGGAAATATCTCCACATAAATCATTCAACTATTCAACTTTTCTACTTTTATCCCCAAATTCTAAAATTTTACAATTTAGTCACTAACCCGATATTGAGGATGTTACAGTTTGCACGTATGGTTGATATATAACTTAAAAATGTGGAGTCCGTGAAAGTGCAATGTGAGGACGATATGTTTGGGTACGAGAGTTTCACGTACATAACTTGGGAAGATTTTGAAGTGGTTTTTACTATGGATGAGATGACTGGTTCTGCGATTACTTGATATGTGATGCAAGTGCTTAATTTTAATTTTATTAAAACACAATATATTTAATCATTTTAGTTTTTGTATGTTAATATATAGGTACTTGTTTGAAGAAATCAAGAATGGGCCGAAAAGAGATCATGGAATTTGCTTTGTGAGCCCGTCTACAATCTCGCCATCAGGACGTAAGGCAAAATTCAAAAATAGCGATGAGGCAAGTCGAAGCGTTACAGATCGATTGTCTCTAAGAAATGACAATGACATCGTCCTAGTTCCATATAATCCCAGGTTTGCTTTTTCATTTTATTTTTCATTTGATTATCAATTTATTTTAGTAACTTAATTTGGTTTTGGTTTTTATAGAAGACATTGGGTGTTGGCGGTGATAGATATGAAAGCAACAAGTTATTATTATCTTGATTCCTTGGGGCCCACCAACGTCCATCAGTAGTTGAAGCAGATTATTGATGCGTAAGTAACATAAATTATCGAAACATTATAGTATATTCTTTGATATATTTCATCAATTTTTATAGGGCAATGATATTGTACACTGCTCAAAGTGGATCTAACAAAAGGGTTAGCCTCAATTGGATCAATGTTTTGGTGAGGACTTCGATCATTCCTTGTTTAAATTGCAGTTTTCATTTTGACTAATCGTTTATTGTAAATTGTTTGTAATGTCCCCGTCAGTCGGGAGGTACCGAGTGTGGATATTATGTTTATAAGTTCATGAAAGAGATAGTCGAGAACGGACTTGAAGTGATGGTCAATAAGAATGTAAGCAAACTTTTTTTATACACATTTGTCATATCATACATACACATTAGTCATACAACTATCATATGGACTTGAAAAAGGATTCTATTCTAAACAAATTAATCAAAGTACTTGTTAGCAAGACTGAAAACTGTGAATTCGTGCTGTGATAATGTATATAATTTATATGGGAAGTTTTACTAATTAAATTTGTAACATTTATTTTTACATATGCTTCAAAGAATGCATATGTAAAATTGGTCATTTTAGTACTCTTTGATAGTTAAATACTTCACTTTAAATAAGTACAAATTATATACTTATTTCATATTTTTTACTTAGGTTGGCGATGGGAAGGAAGAATACACGGATGATGACATTGATGATATTCGTAAAGAATGGGTATCTTATGTGGCAAACTTTATTATGCCGTGATATTTTATATCGACATATGATTACAATATTTTTAATAACTTAATGCTAATACATTGTATGCAAATGGATTGCTTATATATAATATGATATATATATTTAGTATTATGAGACATTAAATGTGATTTAGTTTGATTATTTTTCAATCTACAATATATATATATATATATATATATATATATATATATATATATATATATATATTTTATGACATACAATCACGTCACACGAATGTGTGTCATCTTTTTTAATGACGGTGGCTTCAATGACGCATATTTGTGTGTCATCTACACTCATAGATGATGCGCAATACACGTCATTAAATGAGTTTTTTCTAGTAGTGTATCAAACCCTGTTATATAATATATATATATTCGACAGAATCTAATTTCAGTTAAAATATGTTTACATATTTTAAAAAGATATAATTATCAGATTTTATTAATATATATATATATATATTAATTATTGTAATTATTAAATTCTATTAAAATATATATTTATTTGATAGAACATAATCTAAGTTTAGATAAGCTTTTATATTTAAAAGAAAGATAATTTTTGTAACTATCAAACTTATTTAAAATATAATATTCAGTTCAAATTATATATGATAAAATCTAATTTGAGTTGAATTATATTTTTAAAGGCTATATAAAGACATAAAGTCTGTAAATCAAACTGTCTTGGATGTTAAAATTCTCAAACAATTAGAGAATTAAAATTGTTTATTTTAATTAAGTGAATTGTGTAGAGGTCTTCTTGACTCTATCATTACGGTTTGGAAAAGATATTGTGCGGAGGAAATTAGATTCAGAATATAACTCTACAATTTCGGATCAAGAATTTCCAAACGAAATAAGGTAATATTTCAAAATCTTTTGTTCAATTTATTTTCTAGATTTGTGTCTTTGGAGGAGATTATCGAATTATTTTTTCTCTACGCTTGTTCTGACGATTTTAACAAATTAGGTCAAATGTTATAACAATGTGGAAAACAAACTCTAATCAAATGATGCAGCAATAAGTGCAGAAAAACACAAGCTAAGGAATCCACCTAACATTTAATCCCCACAATAATTATTAGGGTAAACTATGCACTTAGTTCCTAAACTATTAGTTTTGATATATTTTGGTACCTAAATTTTTAATTCTTTTTAAAATCATACCTAACGTATAGTTTTCATTTTATTTTAGTACTAACTGTTAAAAACTTAGCGTTTAGTACTTAAACTATCAATTTTAGTCCGTTTTAGTACTTACACTTTCAATTTTTACAAAACTTAACGTTAAATTTTGAACGGAATACTAAAATCATGTAATCCAAACTCATTTCGTTTCATCACATAAGATAAAATCATCTTAAATTACGTATCAAAAAATAAATACATATACATAGATCATTATTAATCTCCTTATCTATTAATCACATATTCTTTACCTTTGTTAAATATTTATATTCGTAATATATGTTGATCATTACCTCTTTATTGGTTCATATACATACATGATTCAATACAAGCAATGGTAACATGACAACATACTATCATACAAACTCTTTTCATATCTTTTATAAGCCCATGTATATTACTGAGAACTCAAGGTATATGAGTACTATAAGGTTGTGCACACATATGCTGTCACCACAGCTCGTATAAAAATCCACTAAGTGGCATATGAAATTTGTGTCCCGAAGGACCTGTCCATATGTTCTTAAGAACCTTGTAATTTAGTAGCAAAATTGAAATTTTGTTCCTAAGTTGAGTAGTTAAATTGAATTTTTTTAAAATTTAGTAGCAAAATAAGAGTGAGAAGATAGTTGAGGAATGAATGATGTAATTTACCCATAAAAAATGCAACATGAGATACTAAAATGAAACAAAAAGTAAATGTTATATATGATTTTAAAAAAATAAAAGTTTAGGTATTAAAACATAATAGAATTGATAGTTAAGTATTAACACATAATTTATTCAAAAATTAATTGCGATACTGATGTTATATCATCATTGAATTTTATTTAACAAATGTCATGCCAATGTTGTATTAATTTTTTAACGACGGACGATGAAAATAAAACCAAATAACATTATGCATGATTTTGAAATAAAAATGACGAAAACGAAATAAAATTGATAATTAATATATTAGACGTGTAGTTTACCCAAATAATAAAGAGGGTGCAGGATAAACGATACAGCTGGGTGGTTAAATGCTTAGACTGGAAACAAACAAATTCCGCAATCATCTAATGTCTTCTTCGGGATGTTACGAGAAAAGCCTTCTTCCTTATTTGTCTCCCACTGTTCACTTCCTTTTTTAACTAGTTTTACAGCCATTCATTCCCCCCTCAAACTCCGCAACCTTCCTCTCTTGAATCCATCAAAACCCAGTTTTCATTTTTCTTTTTCATCCAGTTATCATGGCCGACGAGGTTAAGGAGAAGCATCATGATGAGGAGTTCCTCCTGGAAAGTGATGATAATGAGGACGACCTCGAAGGGAGCATGGCCGGCGACGGCAGCATCAACTACAATAGCGACGATGATGGCGACGGAGCACGGCGACGTCCTTCTTCCACTTTCACTTCCCAGCAATGGGTTTCAAGTAATGCCCTTTCCATCTCTTGCTCCTGTAGTGTAACACATGATTTTAAGTTAAAGGTGAATTTATAATATTTTAGCAGACTAAAATAAACTATCGATAAAAATGTTACTTAAAATTTACGGAGTCGATCACTTTCACCCGTCTCTTGATCCAATGGTTTATATATGTAAATTTTTTTCTAAATTTTCATTCTCTTCGATATATTAAATTAGATATAGAAATTTTTCTAAATTAATGAATATGCAATCGAATCTCATCATGATGAGATACATCCACCTCTCTCTCTATATATATAAAAGAATAGAGTTTTTGACAAATCTTTCAAAGCAGTGCCTTTGTCCAGGGATTTAAATTGCGTCACGATCGCATTTATTACAATTGCAATAATAGGTTTGATAATAGTAGGTGGTTTGTAATTGTTGCAGATATTGCGATCAAATAATAAGGATTTTTACTGTTGTATAACCGTTATTATTTCGATAGCAGACCGTTATTTAAATCACTTAGCAGTTTTTTTTTTCTTTCTGGGTACTTGTTTGTGTTTGTTACAGAGAAACAATGGATCCTTATACAATCACAGTATCACCAAGCTTTGGAATCATTGGGGGATTCAAAATTTGAGACATTTTAGTTATTCCAGTCAGAAAAGTAATTTGGAGCTGGATGGAGGATTCCCCTCATGCCCGAGAATCGAAAGAGTTATTTGGAGAGCATCTCAAGAGCACAGTGAGGGTGGTCACAGAGGCCATCATTCCCTAAGCAAGTTACTGGAGGGTTTCCCATTTCTTATGGATGCAGCATGACCCAGACCGTATTTAATTGTAAGTCATGTTGTTATCTGACACTTCATATAACTCAATGATTGTGCATGAACCAAGTGATTAAATGGCTAAGGATTGTTGTTATCCCTTGAGGTCCTGGATTCATGCTCCATGTATGTAGAGGTGTATAAGCGTTCAATGTCAAATAATTGAGAATATTTTATTCTTTGAGGTTTCGAATTTGAGAACCATGTATGTAGGGATGTATAAGTGTTCAATGTCAAATGTTTGAGAGTCTTTTATCCCTTGAGGTCTCGGATTTGTGCTCTATGTATGCAAGGGTGTATAAGCGTTCAATGTCAAATGTTTGAGAATCTTTTATCTTTTGAGATCTGGGGGTCGAGTAATATGTTTGCAGCAGTGTATAAGTGTTCAATGTCAAATGGTTAACATTCTTTTATCCCTTGAGGTCCCAAATTTAAACATCATGTATGCAAAGGTGTATAAGCGTTCAATCTTGATTGAGAATTTTTAAACAAATAAGACTAATATATAAAAAAACTATGAGAGTTGTGATTTAAGAAATTGTCAATTATTATCTCGATGTTTCCTATGGTTTCAATTGTTGTTAAATTGATGATTTTTCTTCTTTGATAGCCATAAATGTAATGGTTGGAGTTGGGCTTCTATCCACACCTCATACAATAGCAGAAGCAGGCTGGGCAAGCTTGTTGGTTCTAGTCTTTTTTGCAGTTGTATGCTGTTATACAGCCACACTCATGAAATACTGCTTTGAAAGCAGAGAAGGAATTATATCTTATACTGATATGGGTGAAGCGGCTTTCGGACGATTCGGACGCCTTCTGATATCTGTGAGTTATCCTTACTTGCTTTCAAGTATAATGAATCTTTCGTATTCGATACCGGTACCTACAAGTTTGTATTCTACGACTATGTTTGTTCTCTAACAATATGCATTGTTTGTTGGTCTTTTGCAGATTGTTCTCTACACATAATTATATGCGTCGAAACGATTTTTCCTAAAGGTTGAGATTCTGAAAACCACATTCATTCTTAATTATCTCTTTTTAATTTAAAAAAAATGCGATTTAAAAAACCTCTCGTTTAGAAAAATTTTAGATTTCCTTTACGATCGAAAAATACGGTTCGAAGAGTCGCCACCAATCTTTGATTAAGGTGTGATTGAGCACCCAAAAATACTTTGTCATTTTAAATAAAAAATAATTTTAATTAAAACAACAAATTGAGGTCCGCGTTACCAAAAAATGAGTTCGGGAGTCGGTTACGTGTGGGGAAGGATTAACACCCCCACAACGCCCTAAATCGGTACCTAGTCCATTAATTAACGTCTTTGCAATGAACTTTATAAATTCGAACTTAATTTAGCTTTTGATCCCATAAAACAACAAATATGACTTTTACAATATTCAAAAGCACCAAAATAAATTAAATCAAAATTACCAAGTCGTTTAAGAAAGATAAAGAATGTTCGATTATTTACAAATATCGAGATCAGATCTTAAAAGCTATAATAATCTTTTCTCGATAAATTTAAATAAACGAACATTTCCTTTTCTTTCGTTCCCAAATTTTAGGTGACGAATCAATTTTTTAGGTTTCACTTTCGGGATACACTTTTAATTTAAAATCATCAAAACGGCCCTCTAATCAGTTAAGACAAGCCACTCAGGACAATTTTAAATTAAAAGTATATTACCCTTAGTCCGATTATGTATTTATAAGTCGAGTTATGCACATGAGGTTACCATGCGAATTGTGCAAAAAAAATGTCATGCCAAAATTAATTAAACAAAATTAAAAATATCATACAACGTGACATACAAAAAATTATATATGTATATTTTAATGAAAAAATCATAAATTATGCACGTGAGGATATCATACATATTATGCAAGGGTATTCAAACAAGATATAATCAGACTAAAAAAAATGTTAAAACGTACGAAGGAAAATTATTACCATGTAAAACAAATAAAACCCATAGAAAAATAAAACAAATATGCTTAGCAAGAACGTTACTACCTTACATATGTGTTATGATATATAATACATGTGTGACTCGTATCCACCAAACAACAAATATATATATATACACTTATACACATATTATCATGGAGAACCGACATATGGCATAATAAAGACTCATAAGATATACATATATTAAGCACACATGGCTTTAAACAAATGAACAAAGGGTTAAACTCCCGTAAACAGTCCTCCAATCACATATAAAAAATGTAATACAAATAAATACATAAATGTACATGAAATAAAGAAAACAACATGATGGCCAAAATGAAAGGATAGGCAAAGTCAGAATTAAAAGCTCAACTTAGTCAAAGATCATATCATGAAGCGTAAATATTGATATTTTAGGTACTAGCAGCGAAATAAGCCCATAAATACACATGGGGCTAAATTTAAAATTTTGAAAATAGCATCTCGAGTGTACAAACAATGGAAAACTCAAAATGACTACACTTAGGGACGAAAACAGAAGGCTAAAAAATAAAGAGGTAAATATAAAATTCAGAAAATATGGAAAGGGCCTAAAACTGGGTTTTATCCTAAAGCTTAGTGAATTACAAGGAAAAGGTAAATAAGACATCAAGCCCTTAGCAGACAATTAACCCAGAACATGCCATATATAACTCACTTTAAAGATTTTTATAACCTATTTTCACTTGGCAGCCGACTAAGACTCAAAACAAATGAAAAAGAAAGAAAGAAAGAGCTCTCTAATGCTCTGGGATTTCACGACAATGGAACCTTAATGGCGATGAGGAGTCAACTAAACTCTACCAGATTTCTCATAACTCAGGTAATTCAACCCCAAAACCCTTTCTTCTTTACTCATATTTCACCCCTAAACACACACAAAGACACTGGAAATCATAAATTGAAATAAAAAATACCTTAATAAATTTGTACTGCTTTCGAAGAAAATGGCCGTTACACCGCTTAATCTTTTTAATATGGAATTGTTGTTTACACTGCTTGAAACCTTGTTGACCTCGGTTTTTAATTTGCTGCTGCTTCGTAAGTTTTCAAATAAAGAATGCTCATTTCTATTTCATTTTTTTCGTTTCGAATAGCACTGCTTTTACATGCATACACAAGGCATCTTTTCTTGCTTGGTATTTCGTTGTTTTAGGAATGGGGAAGAACCCCTTACAATTTGCTTTTGTCCAATACGAAGAAAAAAAAAATCATCAGAGACCCCTTCTGTGTGTGATCTCCTCTAAAAAACAAAAAAAAACCCCTTTTTCAGTCAGTTTTTTTTAAATATGTTCCTCATGGAACCCCATTTTTAGGTAACTTCTGATAACTTATTAACCCCCCATAACTGTTCTTGTTTTCCAGGGAGTATTCACGTGGGTTGGAGGCTTCTTGATCATTGGGCTTGAATTGGGCCTCAAAGTTCCTCTCTCGGTCTACAATTGCTTCGGGTCTGCTCCGAATTAGCCCCGGACAAAAACGAGCATCTACAGCGGCCCCTCTTTGCTCATTATCGTGTAACGAGAATAGAGCAAAGATCAAAAGATGATCGAACTTGTCCGGTTCTAAGAACTTCAAAAGATTAAAGCACTCCATTGTTACTTTGGGATAAATGAAACTTGAAAAATCTTCAAATGATAAGTCTGCTCCCTATTCCTTCAGGGAGTATAAGACTCGAACAATCTTTAATAAACGTGTCTGCTCCCTATTTCTTTAGAGAGTATAAGACTCAAACAATCTTTAACAATCGTGTCTGCTCCCTATTCCTTCAGAGAGTATAAGACTTGAACATATTCTCTTACAGGTTCACTCCCTCTTTCTTTAGGGAGTATGGAACTCGAACATCTTCTTCTTACGGGTTCGCTCCCTCTTTCTCTAGGGAGTATGGAACTCGAACATCTTCTTCTTATGGGTTCGCTCCCTCTTTCTCTAGGGAGTATGGAACTCGAACATCTTCTTCTTACGGGTTCGCTCCCTCTTTCTCTAGGGAGTATGGAACTCGAACATCTTCTTCTTACGGGTTCGCTCATTCTTTCTCTAGGGAGTATGGAACTCGAACATCTTCTTCTGCTTTACTACTTTCTAGTGAAGACTTCTAGATGATTTGCTTCACTACTCTCTCGTGAAGACTTAAGTTTGATTTGCTTCGAAGGTCGAACCTGAAAATCAAACATTATCAATCATTAATGTGTGCTTGAAAATTTGAAAATCATTATACTCAAAAATTTAGAATTTAAGAGAATCTTTTTGAATTCATTTCTCTTGTGAGAGCTTGTCTCGCCGCAACTAAATGTGAGAGTCTTCCTTGACTTGACTGTCATTTGAACCTCTCCCTTCCTGGGACATTGAATCGGTTAATAACTCCTCGCGCGCGTTCTCTTACATCTGATAGTCTGATGGTTTGCTCCAACACTCTTCCGAGAAGGCTTAAAAAGGATATGCTTCACTACTCTTTGGTGAAGGCTTAAGATGGTTTGCTTCACTACTCTTTGGTGAAGGCTCAAAATGGATTTGCTTCACTACTCTTTGGTGAAGACTTGGCTTTGCCCCAATATTCTGTGTACAAGTCACTTTAATCGAGTGATTCCTCTCTTTATACACGAACATCTCTGTTTTTCTTCTATATCTGATGGTTATCACTTTAGAGTAATGCTTCTTCTGTGGATTAGACCTCTCAATTCTTCAGGGAATGCCTCTCTAAACGCGATTCCTTGCGTTCGAGGTTTGAAATCTTCCTTTCGACTTGTTGGCCTTTTGACATCCTGCATCTTCTCTTTTCACTGGAAGATCTGTCAAAACCATGTATTTATGCATGAAACACGAACACGAATGCAATTAAATGTATTAGTGTAATGCATTTTCTTTTATGCGAATGATGTTCTCATGAATGCATAAATGTCGATTACATCTTCATTTGACTTCAAAGTGGTGAACTTAGTCTTCTTATACTTGATCATTCCTTTCCAGGGTCTGCTTTATATACCCGTGTAGCAACTCATAGTTTCCAACTTGTATCTTTGACGAGCCCTCTGATCTTCTTCTATCTCCTTGCCGTCTTTGTTATCTATCTTTATTTCGGAGAAAGTGTTTTCTCTCTCAACTTCTTGCTATGGTCAGAAGCATGATTGTGTTGCCCCGTTTTTGGAGACTGTACATGACTGTGCCAAACTCCACAAAGATCAATGGGATAGTAGCATCTATTCTGCTTTAACTCATATCACAGGAGGATTTGTCCCAATTTTTCATGTCATTTCTCATTTTAACCTTGGAGTTGCGTATGACAACCTTCATCTCGGATAATGGAAACAAAACATGATCGCAACATTGATTCAGCATCATATTTACTGGTTCGTAAATCATTTGTCAACACATTCATCTTTTCTTATGGCTTCTGCCCATATCTTTTAACCAGAGAAGCTCTTTACATAACATCCAGAGTTTTTGTATGGGATTACAAGAATACCAAAACTCAATGAAGATTAAAGTGGGATGTTTCGGCTCGCCAATATTGATGCATGTGACATCACCAGAATAATGCAACTGATGATGGAAAAAATGATCATATATGGTAAACTCCATTGTCACTGTTTCACCATTTTCATTCTTCATACATTTTTATCCCCTTGGAACCATTTTGCAATTCAATGATCGTTCCACAAGTCTTCATTGGCTTCCAAAGATGCCCCACAATAATACCTCTAGCTGGAACAAGTCTTCACTAATGCCACAACATTATCTTATTCAGGTACAAGCCTTCAAAATGCCCCAACACCTCAAATTATAAGGCTCATTTTCAATGCCTTCTTGGTCTGAATCTTATCATCTCAACATGATGTGGGTTCAGTCGTTCCCCGACATTATCTCATACTGGTACGGGCCTTCAAAATGCCCCATCACCTCAATTTTTAAGGCTCATTCTTCATGACTCCTTGGTCCAAATCTTGTCATCTCAACATAATGTGGGTTTAGTCATGC